GAAGCTCATCCAGTTGACCTAAGCCCATGGATTCAGCCTATCATCCTGACCATTAATGAAGATATGAGACAGTGCTGGCTCTGGTGGACCTGGACCAGTGGACCTGGACTGCTGGACCTCTGTGGAGCACCACCAGTGACCAGCCGCTACCTGGACCTTGTGCTGCTGATATCCACCCTCTGGGCCCAGCTGTTAAGCCCATTTTCAGTCCATGCTGGTGGTTCCTGACCGTCATCTTGTTGGGTACAACCTCTGGTGGCCTTTGGCTGCACCTTGGGCAGTATCCTCACCTTTCTCCCATGTCACCTTTCCCCACTTCCACCTCTTGTACGTGTCCCTCTTGTCCTTGAGCTCCTTGCTTATCCATGCAGACCTCCATCCACCTCCCTTCATCTCCTGCCTGTCAGGATGGCGTGGAGAAGTTGGTCCTTCAGCTCTCGTGGACCCCACTTCTCTCCAGGGCTGTATCCCATGGGATTTTTCCAAGCAAGATCCTGAAGGAGCCAAATTCTTCTCTGTTGAAGTGTCCAGGGCAATGATCCTGTTTTTTAACCCAGCTCCTTCCTCTCAGGATCTTGAGCTCCACCATCCCATGGTGACCTTCTCATCTCCAACCGTCTCATCCTTGTTTGTAAGCAGGAGGTCCCATGGAGCACCCCTCCTCTTTGCTTCCTCAGTGGTTTGGCCACTTCTGGTCCCCACAAGTCAAGAAGGACTCGGACAGACTCAAAAGTGGCCCAAGGAGGGCCATGACGATGTTCAAAGGGCTGGAGAACCTGCTCTGGGAGAAAAGACTGAAGGAGTTGGGCCTCTTCTCCCTAGGAAGGAGGAGGTTTCAGGACCTCACCACAGCAGTCTGGGACTCAAAGGGTGGTGGCTTTCAAGGAGACAAATGACAACGGGTACAAGTTGTACTGGGAGAGGTTTCACCTCAACGTAAGTTCTGCAGTGGGACCAGTTGGTCACTGGTGGTGTCCCCATCGCTGGAGGTTCTCAAGATGAACCTGGATGGGGAGTGAGATAATCCCACCCTAGGGTTTCTTCTCCATGGAAGATTGGACTTGGTTGAACCTGGCTGATCCTGGTTGGACCTGGCTGGACCTGGCTGATCCTGGTTGGACCTAGTTGAACCTCGTTGGACCTGGTTGATCCTGGTTGGACCTGGTTGGACCTGGCTGGACCTGGTTTATCCTGGTTAAGCCTGGTTGATCCTGGCTGGACCTGGTTGATCCTGGTTGGACCTGGCTGGACCTGGTTGATCCTGGTTGATCCTGGTTGGGCCTGGTTGATCCTGGCTGGGCCTGGTTGATCCTGGTTGGACCTGGTTGAACCTAGGCCAACCTAGGCTGTCCTACGGATCTGTGACTGACAACATCCACCCCTGGGGACTTCCCAGATGCCACCAAGCAGCTGTGACCCGGTCACTCTCGTCCCCGTTTGATTTACAGCTGTTGGGACGTTATTGACGGCCACCGCCAACGGGGAGCTCTGAACCTGTTGGGTGGCTTTGGGCTTCCCCTGGGGGTGCAGAGGGGGTTGGTGGGGGGGTCATCTTCTGGGCACGGCCCCTTGGTGTCCTCCTGAAGGTGACATCGGAGAGGGTGCCGCTGTTTGGTCAACGCCACCTTGTTTGCCGTAGGGGACAGATGTCTTCATGCTCCACCCAACCATAAGGGCTGGAAAGCCCCGACCATGGGGCAAGGTGGCATTTTGGGACAACGCTGGTGAGAAACCCACTGTGGTGTCACCCTACATCAGGCCCATAAAAGGGCTCCTCGCTGTGACGGGTGACAAGAGGCAGGATGAGGCTGTGCCGAGCGCTGCCACCGCTGCTCCTGCTGCTGGCCTT